GCAGTTCAAACAAATAAGAGGATAATCAAAGATTCATCTGATTTATCATAAATTATCCAAAATGGGGGGAAATTTCTCAAGAAATAGTTTCATAGGTTATCTATTGAAGCTCCTCAGATCCCAGGGGTGGATTCTGAATTACCAAGGGGAGTCTTTCTTAGAGGGCTCCACCCAGGATCTTTTTACTCATCATTGATGGAAGAGATGATCCGCTCTTATGCTGATTTTGTCCATAATATTGAACCAAAAATCTTTAGAGATGAAGCCATCAATGCACACAAGAAAAAATTCGAAAGATTTAGGGACAAGTGCAAGAATAACATCGAGATGCCAATCAAACCTCACAACAAAAGAAGTTTGAACCACTGAGGAACCGTGATTTTCATTTTTGACATGCAAACTAATGATGTGAACCTCGATCAAAAAGAGTACACGATGTTCACACATCACGTAGTGGCCATAAAAAATAAAGAGATCATCAAGTGACCAAGACCATAAAAAATCTAAATAGTGGAGACCAGTCTTAATATGGTCATTTTCACATTGCAAAGGGTCATTCAACATAAAGATATTTTCAATTAAAGGTAGAAATTAATTTTTGATGCGTCAAGGTCACTTGAGCGGCTACTTACAAGAATGAGGTGAGGAGACTAAAAAAATGTTGGGATTATCAAATGAGAAGTACAACTATAAATTTTTTAATCTAAGTCAAAGACTTTTCGCTTTCATATTAGCATATAAATTTCTAATTTTATTTCTAGCAAGAATTTCTCTGTTGCTTTGAAGAATTCTTGTTCAATAAATTTTATTTATAGTCAATGAAGCTTTATTTATTCCCTCACAAAAAATTGTGTAGAAAGACCCCTTAAGAGCAAGTGGTAGAAATTTGTCTCCAGTTGTACTAATGGATGACGAGTCAAAGACTCGATGAGAAGCTAGTAGTGGATATATTTCTCACTAGAAAGACCCCTTGAGGGCATGTAACAGACAAAATATTCACCCCTACACATGGAAGATGAACCCATGAGGCAAGTCCTGATGAGAAGCTAGTCATGGACAGGATCCTCACTAGTAAGACTTCATGAGAACAAGTGATTAACATTGTTTATATTAAAATATCTAAGAAGACAACAAGTCTCAGAAGACACATGTACATTAAAAATCTCAGAAGATTATGTGCCTCAGAAGATCTATGCACATTAAAAATCTAAAAAGGCTACGATCCTTAAAGAGCAGGTACACTAAAAATTTTAGAAGAATATGAGCCTCAAAATGTACATGTACATTAAAAACCTCAAAGGTGTAGGTATCTTAGAACCCTCACAAGGATATAAGCCTTAGAAGATACAAATATATTAAAAACTCAAGAGGCTATGAGCCTCAAAAGGTGCAAGTATATTAAAACATCTCAAAAAGCTATAAGCCTCAGAAGGCACATTTACGTCAAAAAATCACAAGAAGCTATAAGCCTCATATGGTTTTAAATTAAGAAGCCTAAGAATTTTAAAATGTATGAACCTCAGAAAAGCTCAATGTTACTAAGTTCCTACTATGGGGCCAATACTCCATTTAGAGTCGAGACATTTGACATTTATTCTCTTATGGGGGGGAGGGGCATAAACCAATGCACTGTCGCCACATACAAATGTCATATCAAGCAACTAAGAAGCTACAATGTTCATTACATATTGGTTCAAAGATTAAAACAAGTTAGTAGAAGAAAAGTTAACGATCCACCATAACATCTTCATCATCAAAAGGTCCTCAACTTCATGTTATCTTCTTAGGAACCAACATCCTCACTTGAAAAGCTTATAAATTATATGCATTTTGTTCGAGAAATTATTCACCTTCTTATGCTCGTCAAGGATTTGGTTGATCTTTGCAGGTGTGGTCTTCCATGTCCTCAAAGAAAGGACCAGTTCATCTCCTAATTAATTTGACAATGCCTCCTCAACTTAGTATTTACACTAATTTTCATAGGGGTGGGATTCTCAAGATTTTGGTATCTCAACAATGTAGAAGATATTCTCCAAAAAGCACAAAAACCACACACAAATCTCCTTCGAAAAGCTTGACAGCAATGTGAGAAATCTCATCTAAAAAGCGCAACAATAGTGCAAAAAATCTCCTCCATAAAGAGAAAAAATAATGAGGAAAATCTCCTCCGGAAAGCTTTATAGCTACGCGAAAAAAATCTCCTTAAAAAAAAAAACTTAACAATAATTAGCTACGCGAAAAAAATCTCCTTAATCTCCTTAAAAAAAAAAACTTAACAATAATGCAGAAAATCTCATAAAAAAAACAAGACAACAATGCGAAAAATCTCCTCTGAAAGCGTAAAAATAATGCAAAAAATTTTCTCCAGAAAATGTGACAACAGTGCATAAAATCTCCTCCTGAAAATGTGATAACAATGCGGAACATCCGCTTCATCAAGCATGACAACAATGCAAAAAATATCCCCTATAAAGTGCAATAGCGACACAAGAAGGAGCTATATTGATTGCACAAAAAAACTATGAGACTTCGAGATGGGAAGCAACAATGCCAAAGGGGTGTTTCGTTGATCAAACAAAGAGGTAGGGAGATTCGAATTAGCAGGTCAAGGGAGCTCCGTTAATTATACAAATAGGCTAAGAGACTCCAATTGGCAAGTTGAGGGGAGCTCCATTGATTGTATAAAGATAGGCTGAGGAGAGATCCATTGATCACCCAAAAAAGGTTAAGAGCCTACACAACAACGGCCCGACAAACCAATGACTTACGACACAACAGTGACTCGTCAATCACCGCCACGGCAACAAAATACTACTATATATATAGTGCCAACGCTCGAATGCGGGGTGCAATGGAAAGGAGAAAGCAGTTTCCTTTATATATATATATATATATATATATATAGAGAGAGAGAGAGAGAGAGAGAGAGAGAGAGAGAGAGAGAGCATACATATATACCATCAACAAAGCGAGGATTTGATTAAAAATTATACAAATCTTTGATTTTAGCAAATTTATAGTCAAACTGACCGATAAAATAAGACGAACTCAATGACACTAAAGTTGGTTCAATTCGAGTCAAATTAATCATAGATCGAGCCATTACGTCAAACATATTCCAAATTTGAAAAACGTACTGTCAAGTTGAGTGTCTCAATGAAACAAATCCAATGAGCCCAAGAATATTCAATTCAAACATTGTTAAGACACTCAAATGTCCACAAAATATCATCCAAGCAAAGGAATTTCTCTGGGTCATCGGATGAAGTGGAATGAATTCTTTTCTTATTTATCAGAAGACATATCCTAGACTTTAAAATAGAGCCCTACCTCCTTCATAAAAGAGAAGGGAAGGTCTCAGCTTAGAGGAGGATCGGCAAGAGAATGAGTTAAAGTCCAGTGTTCTGCACCGAAGATTCGGTGAACTCTTCCCGCTTTTGTAGCCATCGACCACTGCTCGTCTGCCGTCGACCACCTCCGGCAACCCCTTACACGTTAAGTAGTAGCAAAGCACTTTGCTAGACAACAAGGAATGTTGCAGAGTAACGAATCATCTTACTGAACAACAACCAACGCTGCAGAGTAGGAAAGCACCTTGTTGAACAATGATTAACGTTGCAGAATAACAAAACACTTTGTTGAACAATAACCAATGTTATAGTAATAAAATGTTGTGTGGAGTAGCGAGCAACATTCTGGAGCGAAAAAACATTGTGCTGAGTATCAGCCAACGTCGTGAAACAGTGTGTCGTCTTGAACACCACACAATAATGCACTTTAATGATACTGTACAGAAGTTTCGACAACTACAACCCCTCCCAGCTGTTGCACGGTGAGTCCTCTTATATACGAACACTGTAATTGTGTGATCCTTGCTTGCCTGTAGGACAAGGGTATGTGTCTGTATTCATCAAACTATAGTGGATTATTTATGACTGGGCTAAGCCACATGGTTTTTTACTTCTCTGAGTTTTCCATATAAAACTTTTGATATTTTTATCTGTCACATTTATTCTCTGAGTATGTGTTAGAATTTCATGCAATGCTAAAATGTGAAAAGATTAGTACCAACATGAATCTTCTAGCACGTATCAACTATATTGTGACTAGAATTTATTAGTTAAAATGATTCATAACACAAACAACATATGATTCTAGAAAACTAGCTTTTATAAAGATTTATATATATATATTTATATTTATATATATATTTTTTGCTTTCATACTTACGATGAGTAAAAAATATATTTAAAATAAAGTTGAGAGTACTCTATAATATGGTGAAGATGGTTTAAGAAATAGATCATACAAAAATAACCAAACAAATCACTTGAGCACAATTAAGGCCAATTTCAATATGCATGACAAAATAATTTTTCAAATAAAAACATGCAAATAAACTAAATATAAAATCAACTCTATGAACTCTTAGAAAATTAATAAATATAAAATAAACATACAAAATTTATGGGATCGCAAAATCAAATCATTACTTATGCACCCATATAACATAGGTGCAACCTTCACAACTCAAGCTTAACTCAACTTCTTCCCACCCCTAATTAGTTATTAGTATTATTTTGTTACCCTTATTAATATTATCATTTATTCTTAATATAAATTTAAAATTTTAAATAATTACTAATATATTATATCCTAATTATAGAGAATATTAATCTTCTTTACTATACTTGCCTTATTGCCCTATTATATTGCTTTTATATACATGTCATTAAAATGTTATTATGATTAATCAAATAAAGATGCAAACTTTTTTATATTTCTGTAATGGTAACAGAACCACCATTGTTAGTTAAGTTTAATCATTGTCTCTATATGAAGAGCATTTGAGGATCCTATCTGTTGTGATGATTCCTACATTGCTATTATAAAATAATCTCACAATGAGTAATATTCTCCTTGATTGCAAAGCTATAAAATTTAAAATTTTGAGAGGCCTCAATGATCACTTTAAAACATGTATAATTTATATTGTGCAGACTTCCAGGGAAGGCATTTGAAACACAAAATCATGTTTGGCTTACAAGGGCAAATGATACTACCAGTCAATTGTTCTCCAGATCTATCCTTGCAAAGGTAACCATAACACTAATAATTAAAAACACCAAACATTAATTATGTTTGGAGTTAAGTACTTTGCATTGAATTGGAGGTTTTATCAAAAACATGATAGAAAAAGATGCCAAATAGATGAATTTTTAATCACAATTTAGAAAATATTTAGAAGAAAAATAATTTAAGATAAATAGAATAACAGTTTAATGCATAATATGTGACTTTAATGCTTGTGATATTACAAATAATCTATTAATATTGTTAGAAAATAATATATACTATGCTGTGGTAAATTTAGTATCTTTGATTATCATATATGGGAATGAAGGTATAGCTTTAATGGCTGTATGAATCTATGAGTACTACACTATGAAAAAAAAAATCAAGTAAACTTGAGGGTGCCTCCATAAAATCACAATTAATGATGCCATGTTGTATTGATCTAAAAGAAAATAATACATTAGACACGAGTTTTTCATGTGGAAACTGTAAGAATAAAAAAAAAATCACGGGAGTTGGCTCAATTGAAGTGATCTAGTATATAAATGAAACTATAAATTTTCACTCTTCCGCTCAAATCAAAAGGATGATAATACAAAATAAAACTAGTTATTTTATTATTGTAATAGGCCTAGAAGCCGTAAAGGGATAATGATGGGTGAAAATTGATGTTAGTTAGATAATAATAGTTAGACAATGACAATCAAACAATGATAGTTAGATGATGATACTGCAATGATGTAAGCTAGACGCAGTAGAGAGATTTTGATAATCGTGAATGAAGTATGATGATCATGTGATAGGATTCAGACAATAAAGATTCGATGATAACGATCAAACAATAATAATTGGATGATAACATTGGCATATAATAATTATCAATGTAAAACAACAAGTAAAGCTTGAGACTTCTATAGAACCTTAAGCTCTCTTTAAATTTAAGTCTAGGTTTTTTTTATTTCGATATTTTCTTTAAAGTTTTTTAAAGTGACATTTTGCTAAATGTAGCCAAAATCTTGAAACACTCAAACAACTCTTGTTGATTTCTTTAATCATAGAACATTTTTTTAGCATTTAAGTGTCTTAATGACTTTAGAGTCCAATGAAATTAGGCTTGTTAGATCTCTTTTTTTTTTTTTTTTTGAAATTTTTAGTTTTAATATAATAATATAGGATTTAGATATTACATGATTCTTTAATTTTTATCTTCAAAAAGTTTAACCATGATTTAAATTCTTAATTTGGATATATTTAAACTCACGTCATAACACTTTTGATGTTATTAGGTTTATCTCATTAACATTAAGGCTAAAGCTATGCAATTAGATATTAAGATATTAATTTTTCTGTGAGGTGATGCTTCAGCTTTGAGGCATTTTGAGATGTAGGCCTCAAAATTAATAAATTATGTAAAATAAGAAGTATTACACTAAGTTCAAGGTATGAAGTATTAGCACATTAAAAAAATATTAATATTGTGACATAAAAAATCATAATAAAATATACAATATAAGAAATAACATGTTAATACCATAAGCATTAAATCATAAAGAAAAATAGTATACAAATATTAAACTATAACATGAAAATATAGCACTTTAAAATCACTACAAGCCATCATGATTAGAATTTCTAACTCTAAAAGTTCTTATAACTCTCATCACTATATTGTTCCTTATTAAAATCATCAGCATATCACACTGTTTACTCTCCCATCTCATCGTTTTCTTTTCTTCTCTTATTCAATCACAATCACCTTCTTTTTTTTTAATAAAATATAATTAACAAAAGTTTAACTAAATTTTAGATAATAATAATGTTGATAACTATAATTTAATTACAAAAGTTTCAATAGATGCATTTTCTATTTATATATAAATAACCTTTGCTAGACATATTAGTTCTGCTTTTGTCCTCAACAAGAAAATTAATATTAAGATCATATTGCAAATCATATATTTTTATTTCATTGTCATCATCTATAAATCATTCATCATCTCTTGTCATGTCATTAGAATGTAAGGAATCTTCAATGACTTTTGAAGCTTTTTCCTTTAAATTTTTATCATTTAATCTCTTGCTATAAATGATATAAATTAATTTTGTTTCGTTATCATCATCTATAAATCATTCATTATCTCTTATCATGTCATTAAAATGTAAAGAATCTTCAATGACTTTTGAAGCTTTTTTCCTTTAATTTTTTATCATTTAATCTCTTGCTATGAATGATATAAATTAAAGAGTTCATTTTTAAGACATTTCTCTTTTTTGTAATAAGTTGATTATATGTACACTAATTTTTCTCACAATTAGATCATAAACATGTAAGTCATTATACTTTAACAACAAATCATCAAAACACTGGAGTGCGCGCAATCACTAAATTGAATCTTTCATACAACTAAATTTAAAAAATGATATTAATTAAATTGAGAGAATTTTTTTTTTTCAACTGATAAAAAATAAAAATTTTATGGATATAATTTTATAATTATATCTTTAGTTAGTAGTCCCAAGTGTCATTCTTTATGTTCAATAAAGTATAAGTTACATATTAGATTTTGCTCTCTCAGCAAAGTTAGCTATCAACCTATCTATGTAATGATATAATCCTAAATGAATTTTAGAATAGGTTCTTATTCCATGCATATTGAAATTATCAATTAAGGTAATGCTCTATTCCATATAAATAGCGCTTAAGCTAAAGCTCTCACTTCTTATGAATGATCTCCCAAATTTACTTAGATTTGGACTCGTCTTCTCCTAGATTTTGGTCATTCAACTATTTAGCCTCATTCATTACATTATAAATAAAGTTAGCTTTTTCTATAAATTCACAATCCTTTAGAATTGAACAGTTGGTTTTATTATTATTTTTGTATAGTTTAGCACTCAATCAATACCTTTTGTTTAAGGTAATCTCCCTAACCTTTTTCTCTGCAATTTTTTTTGTCTAAGCACAATTAAGTCATTATGTATAATTGAGCATAGCTTCTAAAGATTTTCTTGACTTCAATATGCTTCAAGTTGGCAATAAAAATTTTAGTTATAGCTAGTAGTAAGAGTTTTTCTAAGAAAATTTTCTCATCAAACTCAAATTCCATGAATGATTATAATGATTTCATTATCTTTTTTGCTTTAATCAAGCAATTCCATTGTCGAGGCAGGTCATTGAATTTCTATGAAATTAAATCCATGCATGATGCTTTACATGATATCTAAGACAAATGTTTTATCTTCAATATCAAACAAATGATGCTATACATGATCTACTTAGAAAAAGTACTTCACATTTTTTGCCATTGTATTTTAAGATTCAACAATTAGACATTGTTAATCAAAATGTTGAATAAGCTTCTATTTTCAATATCAGACTAAGTTCTCCTAACATTCTTAATGATTTTTTACTAAATAGCTCTTCCTTTATTGTCCAAGTACTCAAATCATTTATAGATGGTGATTTCAGATCTGATCATAGAAACTTATGAAATAGATCATTCTAAAATATGATGTTGGCACATTGAATAGAATTTTATTTTTATAAGAAAGCCTTCCAATAACCAAATAAGCATGCCAATGTCCCTATATGGCACATTCCAAAGACATCTTATGGGTTACCCGCACACTATCATATCAAAAATTCTCTGTATCTACCATGTATTGCTCTGTAGGCCTTATTACATCTCGACAAATAATTGTGATAACAATATGAGGAATCTTTGCCACTAGACCAAATTTTGTAATAAGAACTAACATCTATTATAATATGAAATTATGGTTGTGCTAAATACTTTGACCTTATCATCTTGTTTATGTATGCACAAATTACCTCTTTTATTGCTTTAAGCATCTTAGCATATAGCGTAATATTTATTTGAGAGCTAGAAATGTGCTCTTTGACTCTTGCCACACCTTTAACAAAATTTTTGTAATAACTACACTTTAGATAAACATATTTGTTATTAGTATCTTCAATGTTAAACTATATTATGTCTCCATTCTAGATCTTTTCTATCCATTGTGGATTTCTCCTAATTACCTCAATGTCCAAAAAAATAAGAAATTTTGAATTCAGATAGATGATGAGGGACATAAGATACGCCAAAGTTTATATGTAAACAACTCTAGAAAGGGAAAAAATTGAAGGGCTTAACCCAGATGAAATATCGTTTTGCTATATAAGTAAAATTATGGAATTTCATTCATACCCTCGATTGGAGAAGACAAGATGATTATATACTCAGACTTGATATTCTATGGTATATCTAAAGTAATATATGAATAATGATGGTTTTAAGATGCTGTTAGTCGAGGGAAAATTGTTAGATAATAATAATCAGGCAATCATGCTTGAAATAGCTTGAAATAATGACAATAGAGCGATGGAGATTGGATAAATAGACTATGATAATTGAGTGTTGATGGTCTGATAATAATTTTCAGATGATGGTGGTCGGATGTCGACGATAGCTAACTTTGATAATCATCGGTGTCAAATGTTGGGTAGAGCTTTAGATCTTTTTTTTTAATATCCAAGCTCTTCCAAACTCAAGTAGAAGTCCCCCTCGTATGGATCATGAAACTCTACATATGATTTCATAGAAGTAATTCTAGTTAAAATTCTAAAACATTTGTATGACTCATAAAAATTCATTTGATTATAAGTAATCCATGCATGTAAGTACCTTAATGACCTTGAAATTAAATTATTTTAGGCTCATTGGATTTCTTTCATCATGACACCAATTTAACAATAAGTATACAAGATTTAGAAATTATTTATCCTTCAATTAATGTCTCAAAAATTTCCAACACACTTCAAGTGTTAGATTGTGGCTTATTTGGACTTTGATCAAATCACTTCTGATTTTATTGGGTCATCTCATCAAGACATTCAACATGATCATAAATTTGCTAAAATCATTACTCAATCCTAAATTCAATTCTAAATATTCTCAATTTAAACACTGCATCAATATTCCTGTTTGATTGGATGGCTTTTATGATGATGTATCTATTGCAAAGTGACAATAATAGTGGCATTTATTAAACAGCATAATGCATGGAAATTTGGCTTTAGACATTTGAGTATGTGTAGCAAAAGGTAGAAGATGCACTAGTAGGACAATCATGTAAAGAAAATCTTTTTGACTAAAAATAAGCAAATCAAAGATAACTTTGATAGAACTTAAAAAAAAAAAAACATACCTCATGCGGCATTAAGGAAGGACTGACATTCTAGTTTTTGCTCATGCTCAACTTTCAACTACCATTCATGGTGCTGATAATGGCAAATTCAAAACAAGCAGAGCGCAGGCATTCAGGTTCACCCCGTACTTCAACTTAGTGTCCTTCAAATGCTTAGCAGGAAAAAAAAAGAAAGATTTGCCTGCATACCACTCCATTCCTATGGATTTACATATCTAACACCTAAACTTCAATTTATAAATATATGTCATCTTACCTACGCAAGAAAATACATGTTTCGCTTTTTAAAAGTTAAAATAGTGGTATTTTTTGTGTGCTATGAAACAAGGTCGTGGTATAAATGAAAAAAAGGCAAAGTGTAGCTGTTAGATATGTAAATACATAGGAATTGGGTGATAGGTATGTAAATGTAATGGCTTTAATTTCAATTCATGTTGATTTTCATCTGTCGTGCTACAGACGGTTGTGTGCATACCGCTGACTAATGGTGTTCTTGAGCTTGGAACCGAAGAAATGGTGAGCAGAATACAAAATGAGCAGAATACAAAACTTTTCAAAAATATATATATATATATATATATATATAGCATACAGTGGCCTGTTGGTAGAGCTTCCTCTCTGAAGGTCGTAAGTCCCCTCAGGTCATGGGTTCGAATCCCCCCGTGTGTAGGGTGCAGTACTCGAATATTTAGCACACTGACGGGACTCGTCTAACAGCCTTCAGCCATTCCTTTTTTTTTTTTTTAAAAAAGATATATATGTATAAATATAATGCTATAAGCTAATACTTCAAACAGGTAAAAGAAGACATACATCTCACACAGAAAGCAAGAGATATTTTTGTTGATATCCACATCAACTCGCCTTCACCAGCACTCTCAGAGCACTCTACGTCCAGCCCAGCATTGGAATTTGAAACCTCGCCTTTGATTCATGGCATGGATGGACTCTGCCAGGAAACTGAAGAAGAAATTTATAATGAAAATGAAGATTGGAACAATGGAAACAGCACTGAATCTGAAATTAAGAAAGCATTTTCCAAATCAGAGCTTGAGATTGGAAGAAATGTTTCAGAGCAGACAAATTTTCCTAGAATGGTTGAGATAGAAAGCATGGAACTTGGTTTTGCAAACAATGGTGCTGGCGATTTGGAGAGGTCTCAGATAGAAGTTCTGGAAGTGGATCAGAGATACAGAAGAGTCCATTCTTTTGACCAAGATGATAAGGAGTTATACTTAGCTTGGAACTTTCTGCATGATGGTCCGTGTAATGATCTTCAATGTTCATCAGGTAAGTTTAGTTTACCATTCCAAGGATTTCACAATGAAGAAATTTAGCAAATAAATAGAACAAATATTCATGCATATATTATTGACTTTCCAAAGAGTATTTCTAATCATCCGAAGTAAACTATAATTGAAGTCACAGCTACATAGTGGTTAAATGCTGCCAAATAGAACAAAAAACCGACGCAGTCCTATTACGGATTTACGTCGAGCAAATGTCGGACACAGATACGTGGGTCACAAGGCAATTAGCATTGGGAACCGACGACGCAAATGCTTGCATTGAATTTGCATCCAAAATATGCGCTATTAGGATGTCACAATGAGATTTTTGTAGATGCAAAATCTAACAACGAAACAAGCGTCCAATTTTGTTGGACGCAAACTTAACGTCGAAATACATTGAGTTTTGGCGATGTTAACTTGCGTCGATAAGAGGTGGATGCAAGTCTGACGCAAAACAGTAGTAAATTAAAAATATATTTATAAAATAACAATAATATTTTGTACACATGCTAAAAACAAATTGCACAAACATAATTTAAGTGTTCATCCAACATTGATTCATCACAAATACATAATAGATTGCATAAACATATATCGATAATGAAAATAAAAAGAATTATCATACATTACAAAAAATTTATTAAGTTTTCTATCCAACAAAAATTTATAAAATGTAAACAGAACATATATATGTAATGTACAAGTTCAAATACCAAACATGAAAAAAAAACACATAAACCCCTACGGGGCACCATCATCTTCATCCTCTTCCTCTTTCTCATGAAGTGAACCCAGAGATTGATTGCCACGACGATCTACTACCTGCTCCAGTCGCTCTACAAAAGCCTCGACTCTTTACTACCTCTCACATATTAGACGGAGCTCCTTAGTCATAACAATGATACGCCTGACAAGTTCATCATGGTCCAACGACAATGACCTCAGACCCTGAGCAGATCGGGAGTGCTCAATCTTAAAGGCAATACCTTTTGTGCCCAGGTTGTATACCCTTTCATTCTTAAAGCAACCTGCCTAAAGATCTCGTAGTCAGACTGCTCTGGAGCAGACTGACAACTACTAGTGATAGTCAGGCTCTGTGTCTGGTTCTGGCTCTGTGTGTTTCGAATGTGCTTGTATTCATTCTACCAAAATAAAATCAATAAATAATTAACATTTTATATTAAAAATATAACTAAATTGTAGAAATCTATATTTGTTTACTTACATAGACACGCTGAGATATGTCAGAGCTTATTATTGCATCCTTGGGCGCCGATGCGTCTAGAGATGTAACTTTGCAATAGTGAGCAGCCAACCAAGCTCTTGAGCTTGTAGACATGAAAAAATAGTATATATTGAGTCTTGTGTGAATCTTACGAACTTCCTCCCCTGCCTCCCTTGGTCCTCTGGTTTTGTTAGTTTGTATCCCTTTTCCTTTGATATTTGAGAGTGACTCATAATCTGGTCAACTATGCCCATATGACCTCCCACCTAGATTTACAATTCTCCCTTCTTATGGGCCATTATGAACATATCACCCAGCTGATGCCTAATACGATCCTCAAAATTAAGTCGGACAACCAGTAGAACCTCTGCAAAATAAATATTATGTGATATTTTATAATATAACAAATAAATATAAAATTATAGTTCTAATTCAAAGCAATTGATTTTATCTTCAACTCCCTAAATCACATGTCATGAATCTCGATCGAGTTCTTCTTCCAAGAGAGATATGGAGCATCAAATATACTCCTAATGATCTACATAATGCACGTAACAAACGGCTTGGAGGGGTAGAAACTGAAATAAAAAATTTAATTATACAATATAGCAAATTCAATTTATTCTAAATTTAAGTAACTCGTGAATCTCTCTCTAGCTTAATATATACCTGGTCGAAGGTGTCCTGCCTCAAAGCAATGGGAGCAGCGGGGCCTCAGTCATCTGAAAAGGGCGGTGGTGGCTGACCGCTCAAAATCGATGGTGTAGGAGGGACTGGAATGGTAGGAGGGGCTGAAATGTTAGGAGAAAGAGGCCTGATCGAAGCAGGGACAAAAAATACAGACCCCATAGGCATCGATGTAGTGATGGAGGTGTTGACCAACACATAGCTAGTGCTCTGAAAGGAACAGCGAGAAACTAACTTCACTGTCCTCTTGTAAGGAATGGGGGACTGACGAAGAAGTCAATGAGGTGGCTACTCCAACCTCAAGTCATCTGTTACATGAAAGAAATAAGAAAAACATTGTGAGTGAAAGTATGGCATATTAGCAGTAAAAGCACCAAAAATGAAAGCAGGAACATCCAATATGCCCTTGTGTTATCCTCAAGGGTAATCATTTTTTCGATAAAATCGAGTTGAATACAAAAATCTGATATTTCTTACACTTGATGAATATGTTCAATAATAGTTTGTATTTTAATAGTTCAAGATTTACTCTTTATAATCACGGTCCAATCAATTTAATCTCTTGTAGCTCTACGAGGGTATCTAAGATATTAAATTTGACTAGTTTGATGTGCTAGAAAAAATAGATCAAATTTCACATACATTCTGTTTATTTTAACTTCAGTGATATCATATGAGTTTAGTGTTCTTGTTCTTTGATAAGAAATATGATTAAATAGCTCACAATTGAATAGATATACATTGCCCTCAATATAACCCAAATAGTGCGATTACATTACTTGAAGAATATCATAATATCTAATCTCATTATCTGAGTAGGAGTTTCCTCTAACATACTGATCCCGACTGTTTATATGCAACAGTATAATAATGTATGCAATTATATTTTTCACTTATCTTTCCTACTTTGCAACAACATCAAAAACTTGATCTGAAGAAAATAAGAATTTAACTTTTTAATTTATATATATATTGGGATACTACACAAGTATACGTATCGTTATTAAGTAATATAAAACTTTTTGATTAAGCCCCGAATATCGAACTCACTGGGAGTGTTCACAATATGCACTTCTAAATAACAAACTTTCTATTTCAAAAAATCAATTAATTAAACTATAGATATTTTTACGGTAATTAAAATTCAATTTTTTTTTTGTTTTTTGATATTTTGACAAAACAGAAACAACTTCTAAATATAACTTGAGTTTATGTAAAAGAAAAACACTGAATATGAAATATTTCTCTTTATCATGAATCAGTAATAAGTATAGAAATTCTGTTGTGGAAGTATTCAAATTGTATTGTGTCAAATAGGAGCAATCTTATTCTTTACCCTTACTAGAGATGCTATAAAGAACAGTGACTAATTTAAAGTTTAAATAGTTATGAAGACCGGCTAGGCGGAGAAGATATCAGCTCTCACTCTAGAGTTCCCTCGATTTCCTCTACCTGGGGGCTAACATCTCGTATCAGAACCTAAAATAATAAATCAAGTTGGGGGTTTTAGCCTGCCACTCTAAAGTCATCTAACTCTACACCCTTCCAAGATTATTTCCCTATTTATTTGCGCAAAATCATATGAGTTACATTTTCATTCATGCAACCTCATGTGATTCTTTCAAATTGTTGACTGAGATAATACGATCCCGATTCTTACATGTTCTCACAACAAATTTTAATATCTAGATAGATCAAATCAAGAAATAAATGAAGTACATTAATTAAATCATCACAACTTCTTCCAACATTAAAAATTAATATTCTCCGCAACTTTCATCTAACATTTTAATTACTTATCATTTTAAGGAGAAAGATAAAGAAAACTACTTAGAATTCATGGAGAAAATAAAACCACACTTTAGTTTAAAAGTAGAAATCATTGTCAAACCAACAAGAAATCTCGATTAAAACCAAAAGTAGTTTAAAAACAAAGATAAAAACTTTTCTCAAATCTTCCACCAAACTCTTTAAGTTCTTTTGAATCTCTTCTCTCTTACAACACTTTTAACTCTCACAATAAAACTAAAAACAAAAAGGATAAATTAAATTTGTGGTGCCTGAAAAATCTCTCTAAAATTTTCTCCACGAACTATTTCAAGAACTTCTCAGGACTCCCCCCATTTTTCTCTCAACTTCCTTCTTTTATAATTTCTCAAGAGGTGTCTTGGTATCTCTTCAAAATGTGCCCTGATTCGATGTTTTTTTCAAGAAATGCCTCCTTTCATAAGTCTTTTAATCATATTTTCGTTTCTAGTAGTCATAACTACTCTCTTTAGTCAATAAGTGCCTCAAATATCCTTTTAAAATTTGGCAAAACGAATTAACCCGTCAAATAACTGCCTCGAGCGCTTAAGCGTTGGGCCTCTAGCGCTTAGGCGCGATCTTCTCTGTTTCACCGGCGCTTAAGCGTTGAATCTGGCCCTTAGGCGCCAAAACACTTTTGCACAATTTTTACATTTTTGCTCCAAATTTGATCATTTTTCACTCATTTTATGCCCAATTTGCTACATAATGATATTATGATTATGCCCATTGAGCAAGATCTAATAAGCCTTTATCTGTAAATCTGTTGCTCTGATTATGAACATATTACAAATTGAAAATATGATTATTCTTAATTTGAGCATGCAACTTATAAGTTCTTGAAGAATGCACGTATTTCAATCATTGGACTATGTAGGGTCGTAAACGAGTCGAGCTTGAGCGAGCTCAGACTTGGCTCGTGTTCGGCTCGTTCGAAATAGCTCGTGTTCGAAATCGGCTTGTGTTCGAAATTGGCTCGTGAACAGTGTGTTTGTGTTCGGCTCGATTTAAATATTTGTGTTCGTGTTGCCTCGTGTTCGGCTCGAAATTAGCTCGGAAAAATTAAATTGAAAAAAATAGAAGTAAAGTGTGGGATTCGAACCTGAACCAAATATATACAAAAGAATGCATTAACGACATTACCACACGAGATGTTATGATTTAAACTTAGATATAAAAATATATAAAATATTATTATATAAATAATATATGTAATATATTATTATATAAATAATAATATATATATATTTTTATTTCGAGCTAAAACGAGCCAAACACAAGTGAATAAATAATTATTCGTGTTTGGCTCGTTTATAATTCAAGCTTAAGAAAACTATTCGCTCTTTTACTTGACGAACGAGCCGAACATTAACGAGCCGAACACGAGCTGTTCGCGAACAACGAGCTTTTTTGACAGCCCTAGGACTATGTACTGGATTTAGCAGATCAATCAATACAATCGACAGTAAGTACATAAAAAATATGACAGTCATAACTTTTCATGTCGAATACTTTTCATGCTTTCACGTCAACACGATGACTCAAGTTGACACATATCCACTAAAAAAATTCAGAGGATGCATACATTCACATAATGTTCTTTGATGATTCAAAATCAGATAGTACTTAGTTATAGGTTTTATTAGTTTATTTACATTTTTTTTTGTTGAATTACTAACTCCCTCATCTAATAATACTCCTTCAAGTCCAATCCCACTTTGATATTATATTTAGTTTTTCCCTTAATATCTATCAGAATATTGAAGATATTATTTTAAAAAAAAATTCAATACAGATGACATCGAGATTATGTCTAATCAAATTGGTTATCTCGTATGGAAAATCCAAAAACAATACATTGATTTGTCCAATTAATCTAACACCAAAATCAGGAAGATGATTTGAAGCTATTTCTAAACTTTTAGTGATCATTAGTATTTCATTAATCATCTGTCATAAATAATCCCCAGGAAAGACATGATTTTTTAACCATATTTTAAGAATGCATCTCTGTTTCTTTTGAATGACTGATTGTAAGCTAGAAACTTGTGGTGACCGTCAAATCAGATTTTTTTTCTTCCATGATTTAAATTATATTCCTTGGACAGATTCAAATGATAAGAAAAAACTACTTTTCCCGCAATGCTCCAACCATATAGCATTACACAAGTCAAAAAAATACTAATCATCCACATCACGGTAGCTTTAAGCTGAAAATTTTATTTTGTAACAATATTGTAAGTAAGCACGTCTATTTTGCACAATATTTGGATATCATCTATTAGAGGTCGTAACTAGACATTAATTTTTTCTTTTTGGCCTATATGGACATGATATGATTAATGTCAGAAATAAAAATTATGTGATCATGCGCATATCAGGGGTAAGTTATATAGTATAATAATTACTAGCTAATATGATTAAGGAGTTGTAGCTTGACTGTATGATGTGAACGAATCTGCACATAAGTCAAGCAAAAGGTTGTGTGGTTCAGCAATAAAAACTAGATAAGTAAAATCGAAATATTTTTAGGCTTTCCCATCCGACGGATGACTCAAAGGGTTGGTATCAATAGATTTGTTGTTGTGTCATGCATGAAAGGAGTCTTATGCATATAGGCAAATAAGTTTTGAAGTCGGGGAATGAGAGGACAGTAGAAGAGACGCTTGTATGAAATATTTTTTAATTTTTTTTTCTTTTTGAATTCTTATTTTGAATTTATTAGCATCACAAAATCTGCATTGTGTCTTTATCTTATTTGTCATATAATATAATATGCAACCATTAACACAATAAATGACCTTTTATAATAACAACCCTAACTTTGAAATCAATTATTTTGTTTTGCAGAGATCTTTAAATCATCAATTATACAAAAATTATTTCGTACACAATTATGTATATATATCTGAAACTAGAAGTTTGGCATATACACATACACACAAATATATACACAAACACAATTAAATATATACAGACACATAAATATTTACATTCACACACAAACACACAGACAGTGTGTGTGTGTGTGTGTGTGTGTGTTAAAAGATAGTTGATGGGCGGAACTACCAACCACCCCCGGCTCGCATCTCGTCGGGTTTGGGTTGGACCCATGCGCCCAACCACTCAAATACCACCATAGCATCGGTCATCTGGGGGGGATTTGAACCCCAGTCCAAAGGGGACTTAAACAGCAGAAACGGATGTTCTACCAACTGAGTTGGGAACGCAGCGCGATATATATATATATATATATATGGCCTC